ATAAATATATATGTATATATATATATATATATATATGTATATATATATACGTTACTTCTTCATATAGGCCTACAGTAAGGCAGTATGTTGAACTAACTTAAAGTTCAGTAGAAGTCTCATCCCGTGATAACCCAGAGCTTCACTCTCGTGCTCAAGAATTAGGTGAAATGAGCAGCGCCGAGTCGGGAGAAAAGCCGGAACCATACATGAAAATCAATGACTTTCCTTCCTACCTTTTAAGCTCATGTGTTGTGTTAAACGAAGGTTTTTCGATATTGTTAGACTTGATATTGCAGACTTGAAATGTTGAGTAATCGTAGGCCTACTAATTAGCAAGTTGTTCTGTAGGCGGGTGAAACTATAAGGTCCTCAGTGATTTTGGCCGATGCATATTTGTTATACTGGACCTATTAATTATACCATTATACGTAATAAAATATTCTATGAATAGGTTATAAACTTTAATTGCTAACTACTGTAATAAAATTGGAACTTACCGGGCCAAAACATCGTAGTCTTCGAGCCCACGTGCTCAGCTAACTATTGTGTTTGCGGCGGTTTGTTAGTCTAAAGTCCAATCATTGCGAGTAGAAAGGAGAGGGAGCAGACAATAAAATCTTCTTCCGACTGTCCCTGGATTTGTATCACCTAATAGGCCTGTCAATAAAAATGATTACAGATTGCATATACAGTAGGGCCTACGACCTTTTGTACCTCACGACATGAAAAGTATATAGACCTACTGTAGTATGTGGTTATATATGAGCCTTATACACTGTAGGTCAATCGATCAGTCAATCAATCAAATTAAATTAACGATTATTTGTATAGCGCAAACATCCACGACGGCAGAATGCAATGTTCAGTGGCGCTATGACAATGGTATTACTCAAATAAAAGTGCACATTTTTAGGCCTACTTCTGCTACTGCTGCTGCTGCTACTACTACTACTACTACTACTACTACTACTACTACTACTACTACTACTACTACTACTACTACTACTACTACTACTACTACTGTACCACCACCACCACCACCACTACTACTACTACTACTACTACTACTACTACTACTACTAGGCCTACTCCTCTACTACCACTACCACTACTAATAATACTACTAACAAAATCTGACATACGATTTTTCATATCAAGTGTTTTGTTCACAAGAGACATCTTGTAAGTGGCGAGTGCACTTGCTGTTGAACGAAAAAAATTAAATTAAAATTACTATTGTAAGATTACGAAAAAATGAATGAATAGTAAACGCTATTGTAGAAACTGCCAGTTCACATTGAATGAACGATTAATTTAATCATTATTGAAATGAAGAGAATGTCAATGATGGTTATAGATGTTCTACATTTATTAGAGGTCTGTGAATTCTTTAAATTCAGTCTATTGTATTTGTAGTGCAATATCATTTTTATGGAGTATTGTCTATTTGAGGCTTAACAAGTACCGGTATAAAGATACAATAAGTGGTAGATTGCCTTCATTAGCTAACAAAATCTGACATGCGATTGTCCACATCACGGGTTATGCAGTATTCACGTGAGTCCATAATAAATTTTGGAACTATCTATTATGACGTATTCCGATACGTTATATAATTATTTGTTTAACGATATCGTCTACATGACACTAGGGTTGCTTTTATTATACATTTATGATCCATAGACTAAATTATGACATTTGTTTTCCACAGAGGAACCGCAACGTTATATATGAGGAACTTGGACATTGATATATATTAGTAATGGAGTTTGGTAAGTAATTATATTCAGTTACTAAAGAGGTCACAGGCCTACGTATTGTTCAATATGTTCACGAGAGTACGAAACGACGCTTGGGGAGGGGTCAGCAGTGTATGTACTCGCCTATGAAACACTAAATAAAATATACATAATATGATCTCAAAATCACGATAATATTTTTTTTATGTACTCTTTTTTGGGCGCATGGAGGTTGGTGGAGTCTGGGGGTCGGTCACTTGGAAATGGTGAATAAAAATGGATGATCTATAAAGTTAATTTATATTTTAAATGTGTAATTACGCATACTTAGTATTGCACTGGTATAGGAATATCGGTTGCCACAGTAGAAGAACTCAATTGCTAGGCCTATTAATGTTTTTCTGATGTTAAAGGTGGCCTGAACATACCGGACCATGGGATAAATGCTGTTTTGACGTTTAGAAGAACACCATTTAATGTGAATGTTCATTGTTTTGACAAAGTCATGCTATATGGATATGGGTAAATCTTCAGTAGGCCTTGCACAATCACATGACACAGTCTATTCGATAATAGAGGATAGGGTGGCTGATAACACAATATAACAAGTCGTCCCCTATGGTGTAAATAGTGATCATTGAACTATGTGTTAACTGCTATTGTGACATTTCTTTCTCTTTAAAATACTTTATATTCCAAATATATGTTTTCTGAACCATGGGTTCATACACAGCTGTTAAGAAGTTTATTTTCATTTATGCCGTAATATTTATATAGCTTGTTTCAAACAAAAATCACAGGGTTGCACATGTACTACAACTATACAATATACATTCATAATAAATATAACTGAATAATACATTTAAATATCTCTTTTATAATTTGATTGTAGATAATAAATTGCCTGACAAGGAGACAACACGACTCTTGGATGGTACGGAAGATGAAACCAGCTACGGGGGTGTGCCTAATGGCGATACGCTTTATAAGTAAGGCTTTCTAATTGGAAATTAGTTCTGGCATGATGGTGATGATGATGGTGGTGATGGTGGTGGTGGTTAGGCCTAGTAATGGTACTGGTAGGCATTTACAATGCGCCTGTTCCTTGTGGATATAAATATAAAGCGCAGTTCTTTTTCATGTTGGTTATGGCGCTGTTGATGCTGGTGGCGATGTTTATGTTTATGCTTATGGTGGTTGATTGTAATGGAGATGATGATGATTATAATGATAATGATAATAATAATAGAAACATACCGTACTATTTAAAAATAAAATACCAATACATCTTTTCATTTTCTCGTCTATTACTCACATTAGATAATTCATCATATTTGCTCATATGGCAAATTGGCGATGGTTATTTCTGGCAAAGTATATAGCAGATAATTGAAATTCTCCAACATTAAAATTTTCGTCTCCTGGACTCCCTAGCAAAGTGGTCAATTTTGGATAATCCTGATTTAGTAACTGCTGTTCTTAGCAGATTTGGTACCAAGTGTCCAATTTTACGGTTTTTGTCAATAATATTGTTTTTTGTTTCACTGGCGTTGAACATTATCTTTCACTACCGACGATCTTGCGTATGCCCTAAAACTAGGTCATGATAATGATAATTGACGTAGTCGTATTCGTTTTCGTAACTTTGCGATATCGCCCTAATAGTAGTAGTAGTATAGTTGTGTAGTATTCGTTCACTTGGTTAAACTACAAACGTGTACATATTAGTTTTTATATATTCATTAGGAATAAACACAGTGTGGATGCCAAGAAGGAGAAAGCCAGATGGAATTCTATACGTGTGATGTACTTCACCATATTCTGTGAAGCGGTTACGTATTCCGTTACGTTGCCATCGCTTTGGTCATTTTTACAGGACGTAAGTTCAAGTTATATATAAATATTCCTATTTCCCATGAAAAAATAATCAGTATACATTCCAATACTATTAAATTTAATTTGTCATCTCCTCATTATCATTATCATCTTTTTTCATCGTTGCGGTCGTTATTCTGACATCATCATCCTCGTAATTTTTCTCCTCCTCTTAAATATCATCATAATTATTATCTTCATCGCTACCACAACCACCACCATTTGTATCTTCGTCTTGCTAGCGTCCTCGTCACTATCACCCACCACCACCATCATCATCATCATTGTTACCTTCGTCACAACTAGTCATTACTATTATCATCAGCATGATCGATCATGACCATTAATATCATTGTTGTTGAAGATTTGTCTCTATAAATAAATAATAGAAATTAAAAACTTTGCATCTATAAATATATTTCTAGATTGATCCCAGCGCTACGGCGACTTTACTCGGCTGGGCCAATTCCACACAGGGCTTATTTGCTCTGTTTTCCGGTTTTGTTTGTGGATGGATGGCGGGAAAATACAACTGCAAAGCACCCTTAATAGTGACACTTGTAGTCGGGCTGTTAGCCAATACAGTATATGCCTGTGTCTATATACCCGAACAAAAACATCGATCAACATTCTTGCTACTGTCTCGTGCTTTAGCGGGAATACTGGCAGGTAAGGTAAAAAATATAATGTAGATATAGTTAACGTAAGTTTTTTATTTGTTCAAAATTCCAGGCCAACAGCGAAAATAAATTGCCACTTACAGGCATGTTTCTTTATTTATTATTCATAAATATTAAAAATAATAATAGAGTGGTGATAAGTAAAAGTACGTCATCCTAAGAATAAGCATTATTACTCTATCTTTGTAATTTTTTTATAATTTTTTTTTTATTATTCAATATTTAACGCATAGGATCCTCACAAGCCTTTGCATCACGGAGCCTCCGAAAAATAGCAATAACTTTATTTATTTTCTTTCTTAACACATACAAATGATGTATAAAAGGAAGTAAGTAAAATTTACGATATCATCACAAGTATTATTATGTGAAGAAAATATTGCATTTTAAAATTATTTTAAATAGGCCTAGATTAGATATATGGACTTGCTGATCATGTACGGCACTGCCCAGTCTAGGTAGACGTTGCATGAGTCCTTCATCAAGAGTCGTGTATGCACAATTATCTTTAGCTTCATAAGTTTACTAAAGTGAAAATATCATAATGTTAATGTTACTTAAATTATTTATAATACTGTAATGTGATAAGTATTACAAATCGAAAGTGAAAATGAATTAATTCCAACGTTACTTTTTATTTATATTAATGTGATAATGTATTTTCGAAAGTGGAAATGAGAAAAAGTGATTTAGATGAATTGACATGATATTTTGGTACTGTGAAAATGCAAAAAAAAAGTATGATGATGAAAATAAGATTTTGAATTTGGAATAAAGATTGGGTTTGTCGCAGTGGAAATGGTTTAGTTTCCTAAAAATCGAGGTCGGGGTTTCAATCATTCGCTGGTGCATTTTCCTTGTGTCCTTAAGGAACACACTTCATGTGCATTGCTTCAGTCTGCCCAGCTGTAAATGGCCAGCAAATTGCTGGGGGTAACCTGCGTTGCCCTAGCGTCCCACCGCATCCGCTTTACGCTACAGAATCGCAGCCCTATGAGCCCCGGGACTCGGCCAGAATTTACTTACTTTTACCCACACACACAAACAAAGACAAATAAAGTATTGAAATAATAGTATTAATTGTATATTTTCTTGATATTTTTTTGCTTAAAGGTTGTATCACTGTTACCAGAGTTTATGTCAATGAAGGAACTACGCTTTCCGAACGCACGCAGATATCATCACGTCTCGTAACAGCCCAGTTAGTGGGATACACAATCGGACCACGTAAGGCTTTAAAAATATCATCATTATTATAGATTATTATCAGCATCAATGTCACCGTCGCGTTTGCCTTTTGCCCTCTTCGCCTTTTCTCTGTTCTTTGGATTCGCCGTCAAAGTTGTCATAATTTGCCCGCCGCCGCCCACAAAGACATCGCCGTTGTCACCAATGGTCGTCAACGATGTCATAATAATAATAATCAATTTCATTGTTATTATCATCTTTATCATTGCAATCGTCATCATCATCATTACCTTAATGATCTCATCATTTTCGTCACCAAAGCATCATAATCATCATCATCGTTATCATCATCATCACCGTTATCATCATCATCATCTCCATCATCATCACCGTCATCATCATTATCATCGTCAGAATCATCATCATCACCGTCATCATCATCACCATCGTCATGAATTGGCTTATAATTTTATTGAAATGCAGGTTACTGCAAACGTTACTTTTTATTTATATTGTTGTGATAATGTATAGTGAATCGAAAGTGAAAATGAGGATAAATGTAATTTATATGAATAGGAATGATATTAAAATGTGCAAATGAAAAAAAAATAAACATGATGAAAAGACATCGTCATCATCATCATCATCATCATGATTTTCATCATCATCATCATCATCATCATCATCATTATCATCATCATCATCAGATTAATGTTATTATTTCTGCCAGTCCTTCAGGTTGCATATGTTCCTATTGGCGAAGTCGGATGGACGGTAGGAGCAATGAAAATCAACGTATACACATTCCCAGCTCTATCGAACTTCTGTCTAATATTCATAAACTTGGTTTTGATAATTTTTGTTTTCCGCGAAATTCGAGTTTCTGATGAATCTGATCAAAAGATACCTGAAGCTAAAATAGGTAAGTGACCTATAAATGTGTCAGCTCTGTTGTATTTCCATATATTGTCATGATATGCCTATATATGGTCATGATGTGATGTTATCATGATCATATTTAGGCGTCACATATTTGTCAAATGCAAAATAATTTTATTCATTCTCGAAACTCAAAAACACAAGTAAATAATATCGAATTGGAAACGAATGAAAAGGAAACTACAAAACTCAAAACAAACCATTCCTATCTAACCTAACCTAAAAGAATGAATGAATGAATAAATAAATAAAAGTCAACTGTACCATTATATTAAAATCATAATTATCATCATTTCATATTTAATATAATTTATTTATGTTTTTGTCAACTAAAATTTTATACAGTAGTCTAGACAGGGCTTTAGAATGTTGCCGTAAGTAATTTGATAAGTACACGAACATTTTAGGATCATCAGATGGTGCGTTCCTCTTGTTTCATAAGTGATAACAGTTATCTATGTATTTTTTTAAAACTTATTGTGGTCTCCATCCACATAGATTTTTTTGAATATGTTTGATCATGTATATTTTTGTTTTTGTTCATTATGTGGAAAATAAATAAATAAATCAATCAATCAATCAATCAATCCTATTTCATTTCGAAATCTCGCTCGAGATTTCATTATTTTATAATTTTTCCTTGTCTTCGTAGAAAATTCAATCGATACGATTGATGCGATACCTTTGTCCGCAATTGATTTACCTGTTGTTATGTATTTGAATGCAGTTTTCTGTGTTGCAATATTCAGTTTTGGTGTTAATACCACGTAAGTAAAAATCTTGATGATTACAACTAGGCCTAACTCACTTTTCTTTATAATCATAAAGTTTGTAAAAACGTATGCTGATGGGGTTTTTTTCCCTTTAAATTGGGCCGGTTTTCGTAATGACGGCGGATCAGCCTGCATGTAACATAACAAGAACAGTGACAATTCTATAAGTACAAACAATAGATATAACTTCATAGATCACACTTCCTATTTAAATAGAAGCAAGCTATATGTGAAGGTTTCCATACAATCGCTACACGGTATCACCGGCAGCTTTCGGTGATGCTGATTGGTCGGCGCGTCGGAGAGCCTTTCTGATTGCGTCAGGGACTGATACGCATTACAACGATTGCACTGAAAACACTGTAGCGATGGTGTAACAATTTTAATGAAAACAGGTTTTATGGGAAGGTGATAGACACTATAGTTATTGTTGATAATTTTATTTATAGTTTGGTATCTCCATATGGTATGCACATGTTTGGTTGGACACGAGAGGAAGCCGTAGAAAAAAGCAGCATCATTTCATTGACGTTGGCGATACTTGCTATTGTCGTTATAGCAGTGATGAGTCACCTACTAAAACGGTAATAACAGTCACATGATTTGCAAAGATGAATCTTACATTACATTTGCGGATAAAGGGCCCAGGGATAGGGGAGAGGGATACACCGAACATCCATTTGAGAAAACGCGTTTCAAAAATCCCTACTCCCTCCGAACTATCTACATCATGATAAAATGCACCGTTAACTTCAGAGTGGGATTTTCCATAGTTTTTAGTGACTTAAAAGTGCCTTTAAACGGTTTTTATTGTGGCAGGCATGACCATTGACCATGCCCGGTACGAAAGCTCTTCCCTTGGACTGCAACAGGGCGTTGGACCCTTACAGACCTCTGGCTTTCATTAGAAGTCTTCTTATAGGTTCCTTGTTACGGGCATACCGTAGTATTTGAACTGAGATTTCTCTGTTCATTTATTTCCGTTGTACTGTGTAATATCTAGAAATTGATGGCTCATATTGTTGAGGCCCAGAAGTTTCTTCTGGGCCTCAAATAGTGTTGTCCCCGTTGTTCCGATATTACTACACTCTAATAATACATTTACACTTTCATTTCGTATTCAGATTCAAGGAACGAGTTTTTCTTGCATTAGGCCTGGCAATGATGATTGTGTGTACGCTATTAGCAATACCTATGGGTCCTGGTGTGCCTCCTAGGCCAGGTAAGTCGATGTTCATGGAAAGATTAAGACAATTTACCCGACGAGATATAGGCTGTGGCCAGTGATTAATCGATAGCGTGATATTAAAAATGTTTAAACCAGTGCTATAAAAACATTAATTTCTATTTATCTTTTACTTCACAAAATTGATATTGCATTTAATGCACCATGTTAAAAAAATTATTATCTGTATTTTCGGATTTGTTTTTGCTTTAAGCTTATGTATGTCTTTAAAAGTTTGAGAACGAAACCGTCATATAGAATAATAGGTCCAGGTCGAAGATTGCAGGCTAAAACGCCTGCACCTATTTTGGCCGCATCTCTTTAAAAATACACTTTCGTTTTCTCATTGTGTTATAAATATTTAGATAAAACGAATTGAAGCATCACGAGTGAGACAGTGGGTGTTTTCAGGAAACTCATAATATTATGACCCCACGTGCGATGATCCTATACAATAGGCCTACGTAACGCAAAAGTGTTTTTTTTTTTTCACTTTGCATTTCAGATAAGAATATAACAAACGGCACGGACGATGATGATCAAGGCGGTTGTCCGTGGACTTACGATTGGTGCGACACAACGCCCGCGATTCCCTTAATCCAGTTTATATTCTCGCTTTCTATCCTAGGAGTCGGGTATCCTATGCTTCAAGCCATTGCTTATATCATATATTGTAAAACACTCGCTCCAGGCCATCAGGTAATGTACTATATTATCATTTAGTAAATCAAATTTAATAGAAGGAAGCACTTACAGTCATGACGTATTCAAAGGTTCCTCTATAATATGGATCTTTCCGCTAAGTAACGTGCCCCATTGATATTAGAGAGCTTTCGTTTGCACGACTTCGGTAGGACGTAGAACGTAATGAAGTCATCTGCGCATGTGAAAACGTTAAGTTCTCGTCGCGTGGATTCTTGTTCGCAATAGACTTTTCCGGAGTGTCAATCAAACTTAACAACTGACTAATCAGAACAGCGCTAGGAATACGCGCACCTCTTACAAACACACGTGTTGTCCAAAAACGCACGTGTTCGCGTATGTTTTAACACTGTCGCCTTGTGGGACCTTAGCAACAGTACCGTATCCAAGGGGCGGAGCTTAGCGGAAAGGAAAGAAGTTTGGCCCGAAGAGGATGGTTAATTTGTAAGGCAAGAAGTTTTCAAAATATTGATGTACAATACAATAATGTGGCAATTCTACTGTATGGCTATGCACCCCAGAAGTTTCTTCTGGGCCTCAAATAGTGTTGTCCCCGTTGTTCCGATATTACTACACTCTAATAATACATTTACACTTTCATTTCTTATTCAGATTCAAGGAACGAGTTTTTCTTGCATTAGGCCTGGCAATGATGATTGTGTGTACGCTATTAGCAATACCTATGGGTCCTGGTGTGCCTCCTAGGCCAGGTAAGTCGATGTTCATGGAAAGATTAAGACAATTTACCCGACGAGATATAGGCTGTGGCCAGTGATTAATCGATAGCGTGATATTAAAAATGTTTAAACCAGTGCTATAAAAACATTAATTTCTATTTATCTTTTACTTCACAATATTGATATTGCATTCAATGCACCATGTTAAAAAAATTATTATCTGTATTTTCGGATTTGTTTTTGCTTTAAGCTTATGTACGTCTTTAAAAGTTTGAGAACGAAGCCGTCATATAGAATAATAGGTCCAGGTCGAAGATACATGTATGTAGCCAATGGCCGCTACGCCACCGTGCAGGCTAAAACGCCTGCACCTATTTTGGCCGCATCCCTTTAAAAATACACTTTCGTTTTCTCATTGTGTTATAAATATTTAGATATAAAACGAATTGAAGCATCACAAGTGAGACAGTGGATGTTTTCAGGAAACTCATAATATTATGACCCCACGTGCGATGATCCTATACAATAGGCCTACGTAACGCAAAAGTGATTTTTTTTTCACTTTGCATTTCAGATAAGAATATAACAAACGGCACGGACGATGATGGTCAAGGCGGTTGTCCGTGGACTTACGATTGGTGCGACACAACGCCCGCGATTCCCTTAATTCAGTTTATATTCTCGCTTTCTATCCTAGGAGTCGGGTATCCTATGCTTCAAGCCATCGCTTATATCATATATTGTAAAACACTCGCTCCAGGCCATCAGGTAATGTACTATATTATCATTTAGTAAATCAAATTTAATAGAAGGAAGCACTTACAATCATGACGTATTCAAAGGTTCCTCTATAATATGGATCTTTCCGCTAAGTAACGTGCCCCATTGATATTAGGGAACTTTCGTTTGCACGACTTCGGTAGGACGTAGAACGTAATGAAGTCATCTGCGCATGTGAAAACGTTAAGTTCTCGTCGCGTGGATTCTTGTTCGCAATTTGAGTCTAGGTTTGAGTCAATTTGAATCTAGGTCGCAATTTGAACGTAGGACGGACGGCCACGCATGAATGATTCCGTTCTAGTGTTGCGTCGTCGAACAAATCGAAAGCTCCCTAGAGGTCCTACAAAACTCTAACGTAAATGTACGCGAACACGTGCGTTTGTGAGACAACACGTGTGTACGTATGACACGCTCGGATTCTTAGCACTGTTCTGATTGGTCAGTTACTTAATATTGAGTAGCACTCTCGAAACATCCGTTAGTATTAAAAACACATCATACATTTTATATTATATTGATAATAAGAAAAAAACACGTTTCTCCACATCTACAGCACAGCATAGAGCAAAAGGCATTAAGCCTCACACCTAACATTTTAAAGCACGAAACAAGATTTGTAAAACATATACATTTTTGTGTGACATAATACATTTTGCTTACAATATCATATTGATATTTATTTTGTTTCTGTGGGTAACTTTCATTGTCCCATTACTATTCTTTACTATTATTTATAATTTTATCAAGTCTTTTTATGTATTTTGTTTGCTAAAATGCAAAATGCATAAAGTTTATTACTATTTTTGATATTAATATTGTTTATGAGTAGATGATATTTTAGAATTATTATAATTCAATACACAACTAAATAGGTCCTTGTTCTTTGATTGGTGGATTTCGTATCACGTGGCAGTGGATATTTACACCATTTCGTCACTCATGGAAACTTAGTTCCAACCGTGCATTTCTTGTTTCATCCGTTTCGCTCCATTGCACGCCTCAACCTAATACAATCTTTTCATTGGTTAAAAGAGGCTGGACGTCCATTCAGTTATATATTTTTTTATAAAATATAAAAAATGACAAGGATCTATGTTTTAAGTGTGTTATAAAACAAATAATGAATGTTGTAGGCCTATTATTCATGCAGTGGAAAGAATATTTTCATTTGTTGAAAGCTCTGCCTCGTTGAATGGAGCAGTCAACCTTTCAACTCGTGAAAATATTCTTCCCATTGCACTCATAAACACTAATTATTTGTATAATATTTTACCGTAAATGTTTTGTAATCACGAATGTTTTTGATATTTTATTTTATAGGGACTATTATTGGGCATCTTCGCTTCAATGGGCAACACTGGTAGGGTTCTCGGTCCTCTCATTGGCTCATTTATCTATACTGAATTGGGTGTTCAGTGGGCAGAAGGATTTCTGCTAATTATGCTAACCATAGTGGCGACTGGAATCTTCCCGTTTTACCGAAGGATCGTACCTTACACGGAACATCAACAGAAACACAAGAAACTAATCAGTTGATGTAAATTCAACACGAAACAGTGTTTCAGTTTTACCAAAGAATGATGCAATAATTGGGCATATTTTATACTTATCAAGTGACAAGAATTTATTGAAATATGATGAAGCATGTAATACATAGTATATCACATGCTTCTTCGTGTAGAATACACAGAATATTGATATAATTATACTCATTAGTTGGTGATAATTCAAACGCGTTTCCCTTGCCGAAAAGCATGCGTTACGATGGATCAAAATGATGTCAAGTAGGCGACTATGAAAGTTGGAAACGCGTTTCTGTAACAAAACGATCAATGTGCTAGACATAGGCTGAGCATTAACATTACAATGTGTTAATCAGGTGACCACAAAACAGCCGAAGAGTTGCACGAGCTAAAAACTCATGTTTATAAAATCGACATTTTATTACGTGCTTTCAACGAGTTCAACTCGAGTTCGATGTATTTAAACACGAGTTAGATATTCCGAGCGAAGTACCAACTATTTGGAGTAAGGAATACGGTACTCTTCGAGTTACATTTGCGTTTTCTTTTCGAATTTTATTTCGAGATGTTAACACGTTGCTTGATTTTATAATTAATAGCACGAATTTAAAGCACCTACGAATTTCTCCGAGTTATCCGTACCTGAGCTTGTTCTCTCGGAATTCGCCGAGAAACCAACTCGGCAAACTTATCGAAACTCGAGGAGGAGGTTTGAGAGCTGCTATTAAAGCCGATCACCCTGTAGCCTTCATCATACGAACGATTTTGCATTTTTTTTTAAAGTATAATCAGGGGTGGCGCCAGGATTTGCCCGACAGGGGGGACCGAGAGGGCCGATGCCCCGACGAGGGGTCAGATTTCTCCGACGAAAGCAAAGTGGGTGTGGTCGAGCATCGATCAAAACGTTTCGAAATGATCTGGGGGCGAAGCCCCTGAAAATTTTGACAATTTAGGGGTTTCAAAAGCTTATTTAATCGATTTTATAGTCTACTAATATGTGGAAAATACATTTTGTTTTTCTCCCCGACGAATTGTGCTTTTCCCCCGACAGGTGCACCACCCTTGAGTATAATCCTCTACTTTTTTCCGATCAGTGTGTACACTACACTGATCGAGCGGCTCTTGCTTCTTGCACTGCAGACCCTGGTTAAACCCCAACCGGCGTTGGGCTTCATGGGCGTCTCATATGAGAGGGAAACGTGCACTGTAGCTGCCTTAAATCTCCAGGGTCCTACCGAAATAAATGCGCGCACCATGAGTACCCTCACTTTGCATAACAAATGTACATTATTATTAGACCTAGCTATAGCTCCTTAACTTGTGCATGAGCAAAACCATTGAATCTTTTTTAGAAGAAAAGCTTTTAAAAATACCAACCATTATATTATTATTTATTACATCTCATACTTAAAGGGGCATTACAGCTTGTGACTTTAGTGTGTGGTATAACTCTAAGAAAAGCATTATTACTTGAGCAACACTGAAGATGAACACAACAAAATATATAGTGACACTAACCAAATTTTAAGACTGAAATATTGCATCGAATATACGGAGCACACCACAATAATAGCCAATGGTGCATTTTAATTTTAGGCCTCTATACAATCATTATCAAGGTCTACGTGATTGTGTTGCATAGGCACAAAATACCATGTAGCTAGCCTACTAAATTAAATTAGTTGATAACAACATAGTGACATAAAAGTCGCTATACTGTACTACATTTGTAGTAAATAGCTAACAAGAAATGAGTTAAAAGGTAGCATTGAATGCGAGCACGAACTTCAAAATCCTTAATGCGTGAAGATTTTTATTTTTGGAAATGTACTGTTAAAGGGAAGAATGAATAAATGAATTATTTTATGTATCTTACTGTTTTTACGGTGGCGCTTTCTACCAGATTTTCTAATTTGACTGAATTTTAAAATGTGTTTATTTCATGCATTACAATTATAACATAGTCTTTCTCTGACTCACTTAGCAACAGAGGATTTAAATATCAACATGATAGCTGATGCTATCCTTGAAACAAACACTAAGCAACTGCCCGATTAATGTTGCTTCTCCAATGCAAGCTAACAGCTGACCGATAGATGTCATTACTATCATCATCTAATCGTCACTGCAGCCACTGACTTAACCATCGCCGTCATAATCATCATCAAATAACTATCATCACGAGCATTGTAAATCTATTACTATTGAGTTTTTTAAGGGGGCGAGATTGCAAGGGGCGTGTTTGCTAGGGGGAAAGCTGATTGGTTTTCCTTGTACCACCTCTTTGGACCTGAACAGTATGCACTTTATCAGTTATAGCACCAAACATGACTATTAAACTAAAAGTGTGTGTGTGTGTGTGTGTGTGTGTGTGTTACGGCAAAAGATTTTGCATACACCAATGTAAGTTCTTTAGTTCATATTTTATTCAAACTATACATTGCAAACTAGGTTTACATAACAATAAATTTTGCTGATGATGATGATGGTGATGATGATAATGAAAACTTGTGTTTTATCTTTAAAACAGCCTCAATGATCAAGCATTTTGCTATGAGGTATCATTTTTCAGAATGGTTCTGAAATTAAACTCAAGTAAAATTATGTGGACTGCAGGATTAAAGTTTTGAGAAACATTATTCTATTCAATTATGAATATTCGTAAACTAGATGGTACAGTGGTATCTGATAAGAGAGAGAGTAGTGCTGGTAATTTACCATGCAACATTATTGCAAAAATCTATTTCATTTATCTGCACCTAGTCCACGATTTCACAAACAGCCTCATTATCTAGTCCTAACCGTTGACACGCATGTGAGAACACCCGATTGGTTAGTGCTAACTGTTATCAGGAAGTGAATACGCTATCGGTTAGCAAGCGCTATCTGTAGGAAGTTGAGTGCATTTCTATCATTAACCAATCACACATAAGCATTTCCTGTTTCCTATTGACCATTGATCCCACCGTCATCTTTATATCTGGATCAGGGATTTTCTTGTATGAACACAAGGGCATGTTATTTATCTGGATCATGCTAACTGTTAGATTGTGTGTGTGAACATGGCCTTTTTGTGTTTGTCTTTCCTGTTCTTGCTCATGGTTACAGAACTTCTATGCTGAGCTGGGCTACCTGCCCTATTAGGACTCGCCACTCTATGTGGGCTTCTTGATGGCGAGGGTAACCCTGCATTTTTTGGGGGTTTCTGTGAACCTAGGCCTTGAAGGATCTTCAATGCATTGCTTGCTTCTCTGGAATAAATAAAAATAGATTGCTGTGATTGTAAATTAATTTATGGTCTTTTATGGCCTTTGGCAGCCACTGAAGTAGCGGCAATAAAAATAGAGCTAAACCAAAGTGTGGAAGAACTCCTCCGAGTCAACGGCCAACCATAATTAGTTGAGGGTGTAGTTCATAGGGATTGCATCAAATAATATCAAAACAAACCGTACCAGTAGGTCTAATACACAGAGGATTTTTTGCATTATGTGCTCTATATATCCATATTGTATTGTGTATGTCTTCTTTAAATGCATGTGACAGTATGTCTTTCAGGAGTTGATATCACAGCACAGAGGATAACAAATATACCTTCAAAACTTTGATATCAAATAGAAGAATGATTTGCCATATAGAATCCTATAGAATTTGGCTGATGGAATCTTAGAGGAATTGTCATATCAGGTCTTATAGGATTCACCTATAGGTTCTCATACAATTTATCCAGTGAGATCTGATAAAATATGTAAAGATCATATATAATTTATTTCCAATCCTTCTATACATAAAGGTCTTGCTCCAATTAAGGACCATTTGTGGGTGCAGTTTTTTTATGGTTTTTAGCAGCTTAAAAAAAAAAAAAAATATTATTTAAGATAGACATTTATTTGGGCTGAAAATAGGTGGTTTTTAATTGGAGGGGTCTTTAATTATGGGGAGACTTGCATTTAAAAACAGTATACAAGACATGACATACCTGCCAAGAGGTCCTCCTGATCTTTCCTTGTCCTTCAAAGACCTCATGATCTTGATGCTGGCGACACCAAGCTGAGCAAATGTCCTGATAACCATTAACCGCACATACTCTGAGGAATCCAGCTCTAGCATGTCTATCAGTACACGGATTACCTTGTCAGATTTCATTCCCAGAACACCCTACGATGAGAATAATATACAGAAATCGTATTAGCTGTCCCAGAGCTCTAGCATTCTTTTTACAGTATTTTTTTTTTATAGTATAAAACATGTTTAGCTTTATAAGACGACAATTTAAAAATTTTATGATATTTTTAGTGTTTATTTTATTAGTTTGTTGGTAAATATTGTATTGGTTTAATTTTTTTCGGATATTTATTAAATTTTTATAACATTTTTTTTGTTTTTATCATGATCTTATAGTAGAATAATATTTTTTATTGAATGAGTTTCATGAATAAATAAAGTGATTATTAAATTGTTATTTTTCTACAGCCAGCTATATGCCCTTAGACTTTTTTAGCATTAAAGTACAATATATTATCTTTATTCATTACCATGTTAAAAACTTACCACTGATATAACAGCACTGGTTCTAACACTATCATCGTCATCCTCTAAACGCCTGTAAGAAAAATTATAATAGATTATTTTAAGTTTAAATTATTTGTTAATGAAACTAAATATATTCATACAATTTGCAAAGTATTAATAGGTCCTATAATCTGACATTTTTAAGATGATTTGCAAATAAAAAAAACTTAGTTTTTGGATAATGTCCTACGATACAATTCAGTGAGTAGAAAACAAAGTAAAAAGTATGCTCACACAATAGTTATATTTAATAATAATGATGAACTTACTTCTCTACAATATCCATTAGCCAGGATTTCATACCAAGAGCTGTAATAGCATTAGCAATTTCAACCCGTACATCCTGAAACAGATAAGCAGTGGGTTAACATAGACTTCTATTTTGACAATATATACAAGTTACAGAACAAACCTATTTTGTAGAGCTATTTAAGTCTTGAGGGCAGAAGCCAAAGAAGGGTCTCATATGTTCAACCAATTTAATTGTATATTATTTAAACCCGATTTTAGCTGAAAATGGTACGTACTGTAGCAGTCCTTCACCTCTTATGTAATGGTAGTATTGTTTTCTCATAGGGACCTTGGAAGTATCAGTTTTCCACCCTGATTAGACCTTTCCGCTAAGCCCCCCTCACCCTGATTAAACCTTTCCGCTAAGCCCCCCCCCCCTGGACATTGTCGCTACAGTCCCAAAAAACGAAAGTGTAAGGACACGGGTGGATTGCCCTTTTTGGAAAGTTAAACAAAAAAGAAAAATGCCCTCAGACCCCCTAGGGTTGTGTTGTCTCGATCCTGTCTCTTATACACATCTTGAATACGCTATCGGTTAGCAAGCGCTATCTGTAGGAAGTTGAGTGCATTTCTATCATTAACCAATCACACATAAGCATTTCCTGTTTCCTATTGACCATTCATCCCACCGTCATCTTTATATCCTGTCTCTTATACACATCTAGATGTGTATAAGAGACAGCTGCAGCCACTGACTTAACCATCGCCGTCATAATCATCATCAAATAACTATCATCACGAGCATTGTAAATCTATTACTATTGAGTTTTTTAAGGGGGCGAGATTGCAAGGGGCGTGTTTGCTAGGGGGAAAGCTGATTGGTTTTGCGGTTGGAAATATATTGTAGAGTATGCTGTCTCTTATACACATCTAGATGTGTATAAGAGACAGCATTTATTCTGGTCATCAGTTCTGTAGACTGTTACAGCCTGATATTTTAGAAGAGATTGCATCTAACCTGATGCAAAAACCAAAACTCTTTGGTTGATCTCACCTTCACTGGATCATTATACAGTCTCTGTTCGAGAACACTGAACACATTCTGTGCTGCCTCTTGGGTTGGTATACACACAGAGCCTTCAATAAAAACATGCAAAAAGATTTATGACTATCATAGCTCAAATACTCATGTCTGTATCTGCCTAGAAAACATGATGAAATAAGTCGCCCTCACACCATGGTTCGGTCTTTATTAACATTATTCTTACATGTTGCTGGATACTACTGAATATTCTCAGGTCATTATTTTTCAATGAATAATTTAAATTAATGAATTTGTAGTATGATTCTAAAGCTCTGTCCAGACTATCAAATTTTCTTTGACAAAAACTGTTGTATGCCCATATATAGACATGATGTGCCCATATATGGTCATGATGTGATGTCATCATGACCATATTTAGGCATGTCACATGTTTTTGTCTGAAAAGGCTTAAGAACATCGTCAATACATGAATTTAGATGACTTTTACCAAGGAAGATCAGGAGGTTGGCAGCTGCAGATCTGTGTCGCCCAACTGGTGATGTCTGCAGTTGTGTCAGGATTGTCTGTATAACTTCAGACTCTGTTGCATGCATTTGCCGTACAAGAATCTCCAGTGACTGTAATATGTAATAATAACAATAGTGTGAGATATCCAGTATTTGTCAGGATGTTTTACAGCAGTTTTTTTTTTATCTTGCATTGATGATCACAAAACATTTAAGTTATCTCAGTAATACCTATATATAAGATGAAGTCAAACATCCAAAATCTTATTATATATTGCTGAAGTAATATAATTGCAATTTGTCACAATGGAAATTCACCCATTCCTTAATTAAAATATATAACACAAGTATTAACTGCTCATGAGGTAAATGGTGAAATCTATTGTCCCAAGGTGATGTGGAGACAGCGTATACTATCTTCCCTCAGGCCGATCACCGAGGGGCTATAGATTTCGCCATCCCTCGAATCTAGAGCAGTCAATTTGTTTTATACACCTCATACACTGATTCTATGAGGTGTAAAAAAAACCAAATAATGAACCTGCCAAATGATGCCTAAAATGAAAATGAAACCTAGGTCTAGGCCTACTCGCTCAACTATGATCAGCCGGCCATGCTGGCTGATTTGTGACTTCGCTAAAGGGACAATCTCTGTTGTCAGAGAGGTTGCAGTCGCCTTTACTGTCTGTGCCAAGTGGGGGCCTATTAGATTAGATAATATCATTGCATACTTGAGCTTTGGTGTTTGAATCTTTGTCTTGAAGGCTCTGAAGTAATTTCCTCTTGGCTGTTCGATTCTGTTCACACAAACACCCAAGACACACAGCACTGTTGTATGCTAACTCAGGTGCAGAGTCACTCTGGCAGAACTCTTTTAATTTTTCAATCAACTCCTTCATGACTGGCTGATTCTGAAAGTAAACATAAGCTGCAAAATGATATTGGCTATTGGCACATTTAGGGAAGGGGGTTGTTTCCCTTTTGGAAGGTACAACAAAAGGAAAAAAAATGAAAGAAAGAAAAAGAATTCATTAGTCACATAAAACACTTCAGCTGTTATTTTCGGGCACCTCTCAGTAATGTAAAACTTTTTCCTACTAAATAATAAATTATATGAAATACAAAATCACATTTTCCTTTTTGTTTTTGTAATTGTAACCATATTAATCATGAGCTTACCTTATTAACAAAATGAACATTCCTTGCCGATATAATTGTTTTCACAATATCCGACTGAATTGGTTGGTCAGATGATTTTAAATAATTCAGAAGTGCTGCAATTGGCACCGGTCTCCAGCACCCAAGGCTAATCAAACTTTTACTTGCTGAGTAACGAACCTTGGCATCTTTGTCTTCCTCAACCTGAATGCAAAAACAATAAACTTAATAAAAAATAATATATAAATATACAGAAAAAAACCCCATTATAAAAATTATTATTTTTCCATAATATAATACATAAATGTTTCAAATTCAAATTGTTATTTCATTTTTATCCAATAGCGAGTGTCCCAAAACTGCCATTGGGCAAGACAATTCCACTGAAAACATGCCTCGACTCAATCAGCGATAACATAGAACGAACGTTACTCCGATTAAACAGAGGGAGGCCATGCGTCAACATTTCGACCTTTATTGTGTCAATCAGAAATGTTTTCTGCACTCATGCATACAGGCAAATAGTTCTGCAAACTAATCTAACTTTAATGCAAATTCGGGATATTTGCATGTTTGAATTTGGGGTACTTACCCGTTGAATGAGGGCAGCAAACACCTCTTCATTTACACATTGCAGAGAGCCTAAGTGCTAGAAAGATATTATAAACAAGACAAATTATTATTAAAATCATTTAATACATAAATATATAATTGTGGCTTAAAATTCTACCTACCAACAAGGCAGATTCGAATCCTGCATTGAATACCATTTGTGAGTATGCTGAAATTGGTCATGTTTACAGACTGATAAAATTTAAATAACATATTTAGAAATTACCATTGCTGCATCTCTTCTCTCCTGTATATTCTTTGATATCAACTTCTCATAAATCAAATTCTGAAGGAAATATAAAAATAGAATATGAATATTACCGTGTAAATAAGTTATAGACATGCTAACTCATATGTTGAATTATGGTCAGATTTGTTCAATTATGGTAGGATATGCTCAAATATTTTGTTTCTTGTACAGTTTAAGAGAATTTCAAGGATGAAGATTGGTTTTTATAGTCCATTATTTGTGTCTAGTGTCTCTACCTTATTCAAAACTCATCATTATGCAATTTTAGTCGTTAGCTGGAATAGGCCTATTACATGTAGATTTTAGATGGTGAGAAGCAAGTATCACTGCAGGCTTTGGATTACATACTGTAGATTCCTTGGTTTAAATCCTGCCATTCAGTCGTAGCTATATTATACTTCAGTAAGGCACTGGTTACTCTGTTTTCGGGTTACTTGTCCCCTGTATATAATGGCATGAGAAAGAACTAAGCGTCCATTTGAGAAAAATATTGGAATGTCTCCTGGTGTCCTGACCGATTCATGGTGTTTAGTGAAAGGGGATAACTGCATATACAGTAAGTAAAAACAGTGATATTCATTGATAATAGCAAGGAGTATACCTCCTTGATAATTAGCAATACTCAGCTGATTTGCCTACCTCAATTCTCTTCCATTTCAGACTGTCCTTGTCCAGTTTTAGAGCATCGGCACTTTTTCTATTGGCCATCATTGCTGCTACTTTACTGGCCGCCAGGATCGGATGGTTCGCTAGACTCACATTTTTCCTGCAAATAAACCCCAATTATCATGTGATTAACATATTGCAAAAAAACCCAAAAAAACAATCAGTAATTTGCATTTGCATGCAAATGTTTCTGAGGCGTATGCAGGATTTGGCGGTAGGGGGTGCGTGACAGTCCAGACCACCTCAGCCCTCACTATGGTTGGGGCTGTGGTGGGGCTGGAAATTGCACTGTCAAATCAACAATAATTCATATCAACAATATGATACAATTATTTTTCATAATGCAATTTAGGGTGGGCACGATCACACTGTATGCACCCCCCCCCCCCCGTATCTGCCCCGGTGTTTATATATTTGATGTATAGTAATCAGCATGTATGTAAACTATAATAATATAAACAACAAATATTCTTCCCCTTTACATTGAATTGATGAATTGTATTATCATACAATTTATTTTCAGACAATTTTTAAAGCATGCTCTGCTTTTAATGATTGAAATTTATTGCAAGATTAAAAATAGTCAAAAAGACACATTAGATAGAAATATCAATTACACTATAATCAACAATTCATTGATATATCAATCAAATAATCAATCAATCAATCAACCAACCAATCAATAATTTGAGAAGTACCTTTCAAATAGGCATTGCTTATGTTAATAACACAATATGCAAAAATGTAAAAACAAAACAATTATTGGTATTTACAAGGTTTGTGATTTTTTTCCTGGTTTTTTCTTCACTGGTAAAGTAAATCCTGTTCTTTTTGATTCCTTATTCTTGTACAGCAACAGGCTTGTTTCCTTAGCAACATTCATCTGGTTGACCAATCGGATTGTAGGAGGTATGGGATCTGGGTCAACATCATTCCAGTCACTTGATATTCGAGGGTAAACTTTACTTGGGTTCTAAAATCATAAATGGAGAAAGAAAAACATGAAAATTCTATAAAGACTATAGAACACTTAACCAACACTTGGGTGTGAGAAATTTTGATCAAATGGTGCTGTTAATAAAACCTTTGCAGTATTCTTGGATGTAAAGAGGATTTCTTGTTTCATAAGACCTAGGTAAATGCTTAAACAGTAACTGGGATTGGGGGGGCTTCGCTGTGGTACTAGATTCTTTGTCGTTTAGGTTTAAAGAAAGAGGCATAAAATTTCCTTACTGTTCTAGTGAGTGGAAGCACCTCAGGAGCTGGGATAGCTGGTGGATGGTACAGCAGGCTTAGGCCTGCAGCCCCTTGCTGTTTGACGTGATCCGAGACAGTTGCCTCAGGTTGGTTCATCTTTTGCGTTTGAGATTGTGCCTCAGAGGCTTGGTTTTCTGTTGCTGGATCTGAAGTTGTTTCATTGTTGTTTGCTGCAGTTACACTTACACTTCTTATGCTCTTAGTTGACTCGGGCTAGAAAAATTAAAAATCGACAACATCATAAAATAGTGATGATTTACATGTCACACACGATACATAATGTGATTGATCAATCAATTAATGTGTTCTGAGGAATTGTTTATCTCAGAATCTGTAAGCTGATTAATTAACTGGTTATATATAGTATAATATATAATAATAATAATAATAATAATAACTTTATTCTTTATTCACAGTGAAAAACAGATTTTCAACAAGGCTGTGTCCTTAACTAATTAAGTACTTAAATAATTGATTAATAAGTATTATATATGCTCATATTTCATGTAAACAAATATTTTTTGATATTGATTAAATAATTATGAATCTCACCTTGCTCTCAAAGCCTTGTTTCTGAGGATAATCATTCATTCGACCTGAAAAACAAAGCAGAATACATAATAATTCAGTACAATGTCTAGACCTGTATGCTACCACATCCTAATCCTGTTGTATTCAGTGCCATATCAAAAGGTATTGACATGGTGGGAGGTGGTATGGAATACTACCAGTGGTATATCTATAAGTCCTGAAAGGGGGAGGGGTGGAGCAAGGTGGAGTAGGGGCTTGATGATTAACTAAGGAATGCTAGGTTTCACCATAAGGTGATATGAGATGATTTTTTTTACTTATGCATGGTTTTTCTTGCTTCAGACTTTTTCAATAGAATGGGGGTAAAGTGTGGCCCGCACATCCCCTAGATATCGCCACTGGGTACTACAATTGAAAAGTTGGGGTAGAGGTGCTATTTTGGTGTTATTTGTTTGCAAATTTTCAGTGAGGTAGATATGCCACTTTATGATTGCAGTGTCTGTAGAAGTACACTACCATAATATTAAACAAGGCAGAGGTAATTAAATAAATTTTGTAACTCCTACATAATGATGGCATGGTTGCCAGCACATTTTTCACAAAAGTATGTAAAAATTAGACAATCGTTTTATTGGGATCAAAACAGTCACCTTCCACTGTAGTCAATAATGTGGGTTCTGTTTCTACCGGTGTTGGCGCCAACTGAGCGGACTGCATTGCTGCATCTTCCACTTTACTGTACATCTTGTGAATTCTCTCTGATAGTTTGTCCAGAGCAATTTTCTACAGAAATAAAATATGAATATCAATCATCTTCATCATTCTTTCATTGGGTATAAATCTTGTTTGATTACAGTTGGTTATTAGTCTGTATGGCAAACTCGATAGGTTTATAAAGTTCTTAAATGTGCACACAATTCTTGTTTTTTGTTGTTTTTTGAAGGGTTTTTTTACAAGTTACAAAAAAAAGTACAATACTTCAGCTTTTGCTGCAAATGTATTTTTTGTTAGATAAGGTTGTGAGCATCGGCGGAAGAATTTAGAGACAGGAAGTCACATCCTATCTATTATCTGACATTATTAGCACATATGAATCAATTTGGATGCTAAAATTTAAACATACTGCGCATCCTTCACTTTAAATAAAGATACCAAGAATAATAAAGCATTCTGGACAAACAGTTCAAACGTGTCTTCCAATAGCCACTGATGGATTTTTTCCCTTCAGCTTAGACACAATTTGAGCGAAAATTTATGAAGCAGGAATATCACAGAGTGGCTACTATCAGCAAACTTGACTTAGCTATACCACCCTCATAAAACTACTGTTTTGTAAAAGCCGGGCACTCGTCTGCTGATCGTCTGTGGTCATCTCAACGGATCGTCATTTAAAACGATCAGTTGCTCATGCATCGTCGCGTTGTGTTCTACGTAGAATCATGTCGGGCAACAACCATTGGGTGCAGCAAATGCCAGGCTTTGTTAAAGATCACTGCAAGTATCTGATTGTGATTACTCGTACTAAACTTTATTAAATCTGGTAACAGGAAATTATTTAATGGCATCTTATGACCAGATATGCTGAATTTATCTGATATGTGAAATTATATGAAAACTTTTAGTAAATATCTTTTTATCTGTTATTTTGCTATAGTAACACTATTTTCAGCATAAAAATTCATATAACAATCTTTCAAAATTAAATTTGTACACCCACAGAATTAATTAATGTAACGTGAACATGCTAATGTGGTGATTAAATGATTAACAACATGTCACACATCACATCATCGGTGCTTTTGCATGCAAAGCTTGTAGTAAAATGCACTTTAAGAAAAATGTCACCTATGAATAATGTAACCTATGACAAATGTCACCCAAGACAAATGTCACATAAGACAAATGTCACCTACAATCAATGTCTCCTACGACAAATGTATACAGATTTTCAAGAACAGATTGAAAACACACATTTTCTCAAATGCATTTTCTGAGCGCCATAGAAAATTAATCTCGCATAATGGACTAAGTATAAATTATTGACTGGTTGATTGATGGAAATTTTAAGACAAACGTGTATTCAGTGCATTACTACAACTACAAACTTTGTGCCTAAAAGTGAAAGGATATCTCATGTTAGAGAAACAAGGTTGTATCTTGGTGGCCATTTCAAGAAAACAGCATTCATTATTAGGTTTTTAATTTCAATGATACAGTACAAATATTTCTAGTGTGCGTTGGGCTTATGGTGCCAGTGGCGGATTCAAGGGGGCCAAGCCCACCCCTCCTCCCTAAAAATTTTAAAATTATTTTAAAAAATGGAGAAAAGATAAAAATCAAATTTAGACTCTGAGAGTGCCATATCTGGCCATCTAGAGGTTCCATAATAATATTTTTTTTTTACTTCAGTCTCAAACATGATGTGGTCTAGACTCTCCATCTATGAAAATCTCTCCCTGGGCCCCATCCATTTTGAATTTCTGGATCCGCCACTGGGTGCTAAATAATTTAACAACATTAAATCTTTACAACAATACTTACTCCTTCCAGCTTATATGATGGTATTGATGGTAATATGCAAGGAATGCAACAGTTTAGCAAATAGAAAAAAGTACAACAAAATGATTTTTAAGTATGCAAAGTAAAATGCAGTACTTTAAAAAATTATAAATTAACAAAGCAGATGGTAAAGCAAAAACAGTAAAAAGAAATTCAAACTAAAATTTGTGAAATAAATTTTCCGAGCTTATAGAATTTAGATTAAACCTTCAACTGCACCTTGTAAATATGCTTTTGTCATTTAGTTGTAAAGTTTATTTGTACAACTTAGTATATACTTTGTTTTTGCTTGAGTAGCTCACACGAGTAACTCAATAACATTTTGTTTGAAAACTTAAAATGATTAATCATCAGTTAAAGCTTCTATTCCGACACCTAAACATCTTGAGAAATATCCTTTTTAATAGTTACTTCTTTCTCTGATAAGGTTTTTCTTATATGCACTATCTTTTGCTATATGTTTTCCAGGTAATTGTCAGGTGTCTATGAAATGTGGCAGGCAGTGTATGATTGGTTGAACTTTTGATGAAACACACCATTCAAAATTTTAATGAACTGAAGGTTTTGAAATGACAATTGATTCTTCTTGTGGTAGATGATTGCAAATGCTGTATATTACCAACTTACTGTCACAGTCTCCCAACTCTGTATTAGTAGTGATTTGATAAAGCATTAAAATACAGAAAAATATATGCTTTACATTCATTCATATATTAAAAATAAGTTAAATAATCTGTTTTTCAAATTTCATTCAGTGTTCTAGGATTAGGCAAATAGTTTTTTAGAATTCTATTCTTTGTTTATTGTATACGTCTGATACTTACTCTTTAATTACTCTTACCTTTACTTATTTATCCTATCGTTTATTTATATACTGTAAAAACTTCTTCTTGTGATTAAGCCCAATGGGCTTAATCACAAGAAGAAGCTCATCTCGAATTCAAACCCTCTTTAGTTTGCAAAAGTAGCCTTGAAGAAGCCCATGGGATTCTTTTCAAAAGAGCATGGGCTTTTTTTGAGATAGTACAGTACTGTACATACAATGTAAATTAATTTCAAAGAAACAAAATAAATTCAAAACACGTACTTGGTTTATACTGTAGTTTAGGTAATTTTATGCTGTTAATACACTCCCTGATGTAGACTGATGTTACAGTGGCCCTATTTATTGTTTTATGGTAGTAATTTCCAAAATTTACAGCATTCATTTTGAAAAGAAGCCTCCCGCTTTACTTTGCTAAAGTAGCCTCAAAAAGAAACCCATCTTGAAAAGAAGCCCATCCAAAGTTTGCAAAAAAAGAGGCCCATGGCTTCTATTCGAGTATACGGTATATCTACTTTACATTCACTGTATTAGGTTTATTTTTTACTTGTGATTATTTTCCCATTTTTTGTCAATTCTACATAATCTACTCCTTAAAAGGCCTTGATTTTGTGTTAGATGATTTAAATAAAAAAGAGGATATCTGTATTTGATATTTAAGTAACAAAAAACTTATAAAACTATAAACATAAAAAATAGTTTGGAAAACAAAATCATGCATTAATTTTATACATATCTATAAAGATTTTTTTTTATTCATGCGAAAGTGATCACTTCTAATTTCCCAATGCATCACCATTAATAAAGAAAATATTGTATTTAAATTACCACACATTTACCCGGAGTTAGCACATTTCACTTCATCACCACGCCCCTGGTTCCAAGTGACTATATATGTGTCTTACAGTAGGTACATTTGTCCCACTAATAACCTCTAGTTCCAACGTGTATTGGTGGCATGTTTCCAAGACTTGCCACTCCTCCTACCAACTACTTCTTCTTAATAAACACCTTCTACTCTCAGTATCTTTTCTTTTAAAATAAGTAGGCACTGTAGGTAGTGCCATCTCTAGGAGTGTTAGCAACTTCACAATCACACTTCCTTAATGGACATGTACTGTATGTAGGTAGAACACCTCTCTACTCACCTGGGCATCACCCATGTTTCCAGCTGTAACACCATTTAACCAAGGCAACTCAGGACCACCTGTATTGGCTGCATGAAACATAAACAATAATGAAAGATTCGAGTAACAAAAACATAATTGATAGAATAATTTTTGTCTTAGAATGCTTATACAGATGTGGGTCATAAACAGTTGCGAATAACCGCAGACAAGAGATCTGATTTTATGAGCTTTATAAACACACGTGACACCTACAGTAATTGTGTTTTGCTGCATTCACTCAATGCACCACAACATACGACGATCGTAAGACTGTCGCACAACGAATCCAATATCCGCTCCCTGTGAGTGCTAGACTATGTAACACTGTCTGCTGTTTGTCGATAGCAGTCTGAACAAATCGTAGTTAAAAACGATCAGTTGTGCACGCATCATCGCATTGCATTTCTCACAGAGTCGCATCGTCCAATAACCTTCAGCCGCATTGAGGGTCCGGTCTTAGTTTTTGGAAGATTTTTAGTTGCTTAAGAGAGTGCAGAGAGTGTACCAATTTCTAAGCAAACTCCCATAACTCGCATGAGACTTAGGAAGGGACCCCTCCCCCCCCCTCCATAAATAGTGAGCCATACCTGGAGACATGAACGTAGACTGCACCGCAATACCAAGAGAGTGGTAAGATCGAGGATTGTCCTTAATTAATGCATCAACGAACTGGTTGTACTCAAATCTACAAAAGACAATAAAAACAAACACATTATATACTGTAGGTAGACAGGGGACAGAGATAGACAGAAAAAAGAAGATCATCAAATCAAAAGACTTCATTAAAAGCATTATTTGATTTGAATGAATGAATGAATGGAAATATAAGGTGCTGCTGAATTGTCTGCTTGCATACCGGTGGTGATCTGACATCCAATATTCGTCTGTTGCATCTGTTGCCACACTTCGCCCTCTAGAGGGCGGTGGTTGCAGTTCTGTAAAACAAAATTATAATTATGTTAAAATCAAAGAAATACTAAAGTTTGAATTATATAAGTTTACACCATAGGTGATCCACCCAAACAGGCTATTATTTGTAAACATTTGTCCATATATGAGTGTGATATGACATCATCAAACCCCTGACATCACCAAGCACATATGTAAGTGTGATATGACATCATGAAGCCCCTGTATGAGTGGCTATATTTGGATATGATATCACATCATCATACCTTAGGTGTGATATGACAATTATCATGCCAATATAAGTGTGATATGACATTAGATACTCCCATTATTTGAGCACCTGTGAGTAATGAATAGGCAGGCCCCTGTGCCTTAAATTGCCTGTAAACGGTGCGGTGATGGTGTGGTCTTTCTTTTCTTGTAGCTTCATGTTCATGGTAATTTTTGGTTCCTTCCTCCTGTAGTGCCTTGAGCACTACTGCAGTGGATTTGTGCGCTTTATAAATCTTATTATTATTATTTATTATTATTATGCCCATATGGGTTATACGACATGATCATGCCTATGCAATATACGGGTGTGATATGACATCATCATCTCCATATATTAATGAGACATAACATCATCATGCCTATATATGGGAGTGATATAGCATCATTATGCCCAAAACAGGTGTAACGACTGACATCATCATGTTTATACTATGTTTTGTTATAAGGGAATTTCACGGACATTTCACATACCACTTGATAGTGTGGTCAGACTAGTAAGGTCACAAGAATTGAAAATACCCGATTTTTACCTCCTCTTGTCAAATCAAATTCCTCCTCTGCATCTTCATCATCCTCATCTTCCTCTTCTTCATCTGACCTCTGAGGCGATATCACTGACACCTTCCTTAGAACCTTGACCAAATCCTCCTCTGTACCCTCAGTAATGAACACACCACCATCACTGCCTCTACTTCCTGTCCTCTGATTTATAAAAGACAATATATATATACATATAGCTCTGTCTACACTATCAAATAAACTGTTGCATGTCCATATATAGTCATGATGTGCCTATATATGGTCATGATGTGATGTCATCATGACCATATTTAGTCATGTCGCATGTTTTTGTCAACAGGGCTTTACAGTAGTACTACATTAAAATATATTTTATTAGATGTCTAGCAAGATATTTATAGCAGATCATTATGGCAAAAAATGTTTAAGTTTGTTTGCATTTTAGTAGTACTACAGTATATGATTGTGTATGGTCAGTGGTGGTTTCATAGAATATACATTCTGGGGGCCAGGGCTTGTCTGACGGAGGGTCAGAGAACATCCTGCCTCCCTCTATTAAGAACTTCAACTCTGTGAGACAATTTAAGGCCAGCCTTTAAACCTAGTGTATTTTCAATTGAGTTTTGGTCATGTAAGGGCTGGGTTTGGTAGTTTTTGCACTCATTTCATTTTAATCTTTTTATCCTTCATTAAAATTGATTTACTTTGGTCTATGACTAATGAAAACATGTTCATTTTGGTTGGGGTAGGCTGTACTTGAAGGAAATATTCATTATAGTGGAGGGTAGTCAGTGGTTTGTAATTGCAAAGAATAAGCTCTATTAGAAGTACTGTACCAAGTACAAGTAACAATGTCTGACAATTTTAGGTGGATATTAAGGCTCGCAAGGTCCTGGTCACAATCACGGAAGGCAATTCTGCTTTAGTCCAGGGGATAGGTTCCCTGCTGGCATCCAGATGAACAGGGCAATTTGGTGCAAATTCTAAGTTGATCTTAGATATTTTTAAGATACATAATGACATATATGCCACACCTGTTGCTGACTGGAAGCAAGCTGCCTTTTACTACGATGTCTGGTGCTGGGTCTGCTGTCACTAATCTCTGAATAAACTTCAGGGGTGTTAACAGTTGTCACTGAGTTCTGTGGGTAGATTGACACCTCTGTTTGCTCCCTGTACTGGGATGCACCAACTATACAGTACAAACGAAAAAAAAAATGTAATTAACATAACAAGACTTATTACTTTGTAAACGTAACAAAGGACAAAATATACCCGGTTACTGTATATTTATACAAATTTACGATAGCGCACTGTCTTTCAAATGAGACGTTTAAACATTAAGGCCCATGTGCAGATTCAAGAATGCAATTTACTCTACAAAGAAGAGTAGGGGATTGTCTCCCGGTGTTCTTCTTAATCACCACTAGAAGGACTCCACTAGAAATAAGACTTCTTCAGACTTTCGTGGGTTAGCCTCAGTGTTTACACCAACTAAATCCATCTACTGCAGTAAGCCATGCATAATGTGTATGTACTAATTTATAAGAAAAAATCTGGTGGCTGTAGAATCTTCAAATAAAGAAGAAATTAATAATACTAGTCATTTGATATATTACTATACATCCTAAATACACAAACATCCCATCAAAACTTTAATTCTTGAAGGAACTGAAGTCCATTCAAAATTTCAGAATACAGAGGTATTCATCCTAATGCACTACGACAAGAAATGTTCAAAGCTCATTCATGTTTACTGTGTGTGGTCTTCAGCTGATTCTAAAAAAATATCATACTTTCAGCAACAGCATCACCACCACCAAAACTTCTAGAACTCTGGGATGACTTCAGTATTGACTTCTCTGGTTTGAACACCACTCTTCCAGCTCCATCACTTTTAGGTCTCTGCTTTAGTGGCAGCTTCTTCTTTAAACGCCTGGCCTTCACCACCTCTATACTTTTAAATGAACTTTCAGGGAAGACATATTGGGGAAGCGAATGATCAACAGGATTCTTTGATTTGTAGTAGCAGACTGGAGAAGTTGGAAGCACAGGATCAAGGGATGAGAATGTGTTCTGCCAGTAGTTGGAAGAATATGGGTCTGGAAGAGCAGCATCTGCAGTAGTAGGAATCTTTGCTGGATAGTCTTCATCAGAGTCAGAAAGAAAGGCAGATTTTTCAATTTTCTGGAACAGAATAAAGAATTATAACAATGTAATTTTCATGTTTTTATAAATGGACCAAACTGAAAAACTTTCATGGTCTATCACTGTTCTTTTTTACGATGGGCGATTTCATTATTTTCTAGAGGGTATTTTGTAGGATTCACGAAAATAGTGTGCTTGAATATGATGGGCGATTCCATTATTTCATTGAGGGTATGCTGCAGTTTTGCCCATTTTGCACGGCCTGCGTATTGTTATTACTGCATTCAGGCACAGGACTGGAGGTATGCACTCTATGAAGTGACTGCTCTAGTTATATAATGTTATCAATAATGAAGATCTTTATTTTACCTGTAACCTGGATGATGGTGGTCTTCTGTATTTCATCAGAAGTTTTTCTCTCCGATCCTCAAGCCAGGCAACTCTCTTTCGGGCCACTTGGACGTGACGTCCCACCTTTGCTGCTCTTGTCAGCTCAACTCTTGCATACATCAACTCCCGATTGATCTTGTCAACAACCTAAAAATGTAACAGAAATTATGTCATTTAAATGAATGATGTCATCAATTAAATGATGTCATACAAAATACAGGAATACAAAACAAAATCACTTTATCACATTAATTTGTTTTAACAATGTTTATCATACCTTTAATACAAGAACCATTTCTTCACATTTAGCTTTGAGGTCATCGATCTTAATTTTGCTGAGAACCTTATCATCTTCTGATTTAGCGTTTCCATAGCAATTTATTGCATTTTCCAGTGCATCTTGGAGGTCTTTCACAAGGAACATCTGTTCTCCAAAGAAGAAATATTGAAATCAGACTATAAAGCTCTGTACACACTATCACAATTTATGTGACAAATTTGTGTGATGAGCCCATATATGGGCATGATGAGCCCATATATGGGCATGATGATGTCATATGCCTAAATATGGGCATAACACATTCATTTGTAACATTAAATTTGATTGTGTGGACATAGTTTATCATTTAGGAGTGTGATCATTCCACCTGTACCCTTTGGATCCACCTCAGCAGATGTCCCTGTCTACATTTTGTTTTAATTTCAAGTTTATATACCTGGGAGTGATGTTTTTCCCTTCCTGACATGTTATACCAAATACTCATTACGTCCCCAAATACTAGCGAAAAGGTATTCAAGTGGGAATCGAACCCACGACCTCCAGGTAACTAGCCTAATGTCTTAACCACTAGACCACCAAGCTTATTTCACTAGTATTTGGGGACGTACTGAGTATTTGGTACGATAACACGTCATTTAGGGCAAAACATCACTCCCATGATATTTTCCTGACGCAAATTCACATCTTTATCCATATACCTGATCATCCAGCAGAAAATCTGAGCGATTTGCCGCAGGCTTCACTTTTGTAAGTTTAATGCCACTCCTTATGGGTTGAGGGCGTCCAACAAATGTTCGATTCCTCTTACACGTCCGACTAGCTTCCTCTAATGTAGTCATCACGATTTATACGTTGATAAACCACACCTGTAGGAAACAAAATGTTCCATAGCAAAAGCATTTTTTTTCCCAGATGGCCTTTGATAGCCCAGTGTGTAATAAGTATGAAGAAGCAGAAACTCAGTTTTTGTACTATTAGTATCAAACATTTTGCATTATTTTATTTTAATGTATGCTTTTATTTTGGTAATATTTTCTTGCATAGTTTATTGAAGTGTACCTGTCTATCTAACTAAATACTTCTGTTTACAATGAATAGGGCCTATGTTTTGTTTTTGAACTGAACTGAGGTGCATACTAATAATTTCCAATAATACTCCATATGGATGAAATATGAAATTTTTAACATAAAGAAAGGTCCGCACTACTATGCACATGCAAGACAGCCCTGAAAGATGAATTAATAAGAAAAAGTGACAGATATAAGTTAGAAACTAAGAAAACATACATACATAGTGCCTAGGCCTAGAAAGAATGAATAAAATAAAGCATTGGGGACGGTCAGTCAGAGAGATGGATTGGTGGAAAATTAATATAATTATATTTATATTTTCAAAATTTGTTTTTGGACTCGCCAGGCAGGTGCAAGCCGATTGGACCAGTGCAGGGGCATAGCTAGGGCCTCTGGCTCTAGCTATGCTAGAGCTAGGCTCCTAGATAGTAGACTAGGCTAGAGCAGCCTCCTTACTCCCTCCCGATCCCTCCATCCAATCAATGTCAATGAGCAGAGAGTGACGAGTGTAGGCCCTACTAACTAACTAGCTAGCTAGCTGCCCTATTACAATAGTTTAGTCGCCTAGTTTTAAAATTTACCAAGCCTAAAGCCTACTTAATTAACAAATGTGAAGAGAAGTAGGCATAGCAAGATATAAAAACATGTAAGTTACATGAAAAATACTGTAACCCGCACTCCGTTGCTACAACAATGTTGTTTACAAAAAATTAATGAACTCTCCTGACCTGGCGGTCATAATACAATCCCGTCAACCCTGTGAACTTCCTCTTAGAAATCGGCATTCACAGGTCCGTATGTAAAATTTACTCACTTAAATTTATCCACTAAAATCGTATGCTTAGAAACGCATTTGCGACTAATATTTACATTATATGAACGTATGTTTTACCTATAATATTTTGAATGTAGTTTTTTTTGCGTAAAAATCCTAATTTCTTATTGAAAATTATGAAATTATGCGGTGTATTTATCACTGTATCTGTTATTAGTGTTACTGACGACGTAAAGCTCCCTCAAACAAAATATTATTTTGGCAAAAAATGCTAAACCATAGGTTGCCAAGCTATCTGGTACTATTTTGCCTACGACTTGTTAAACCAGTTAGACCGGTAGAATATCCTAATATAGGCCTATGCCTAGGCCTAAGTGCTACTAGCCTAGGCCTGGCCTAGCCCTAGGGCAGGCCGCCTAGGCAGGCTAGGGGGCCTAGCTAGCCTAGGCCCTATACCATACACCTCGACTTGGCTAGGGGCGGGCCTGAGCCTAGGTAGCCAACCTGCCGTAAAAATAAAGCATATGGCAGTCTAGTTTTTTGGATCTTGAACCGTATGAATTTTATTATTCCAGCTGCCATCATGGTACGAATGAATGTTTTGGCGGATGCGCTCCGCTCCATCTGCAATGCTGAAAAGCGAGGCAAGCGCCAAGTGATGATTCGACCAAGCTCGAAGGTCATCATAAAATTCCTTACAGTGATGATGAAGCATGGTAAGTGATTGAAATTTGCCATTTTCCATTTTTATTTATTTGGGAATGGACTAATTTTTTTTTAACATTCATTCTTTAAATTGTTTTTTTCATTATTTATTTTTTTTTATGCTTACAGTAAGTACGATATGCTGGATTAGACGTGGCATACTGTAGATAGGCATTGAAAGTTAGCTCTTGAATTCAATTCAAATCAATTTTATGTTTTTAGTACAGTAGGTGTGCTTCTTGAGATATTGGCATATTAGAATTTGAATAGAGTTAGAAATTCGAACATGTGCTTTATAGACGCAGAAGGCACTCAAAACAAACACCATTTACTTTCTTTTGAAGAACGGCCTCTAGTTTGCGATAGAAAATTTGAGATAGGATTGTGTTTCCATGAAACCCAAAGAGTCGGACATCTTGCAGTTCAATACTCTTTGATTTATTGTATATTATTCAATTAAATAATAATTTAATTAATTACAGGCCTTGGACTCCTTGGTTCCCGGCACTTGTACAGTAGTTAAGAAACAAATGAATAAAGTGAATCATGAATCCTCATTTTCATCAGTTTTTTTTATTATTCATCAATTTTATCATATTTCTGAATTTTATTATAAGTTATTTATGCTTTGAATTTTATCATAAACTTTATAAATTTTATCTTCAAATTGTCTTACCTTCACCTTTCATTTTCAAGATTTCCAATGTTATGTTAGGTTATATTTCCATGTTTACTTTTTTTTTTTTTTTTTTTGGTTGAAATATTTTTACTACTTCCAGGCCTTCATTTTATAGAGTTTCATGAAGGTGCTGTCAATTTTTTCACTTTTTTGTGAAGTGCATAGAAGCATAGCATCATGCTACTAACTTAATATTATTATTATCCACTTTAAACATTTTAAAAAGTTAGTTTTATCTGTAAATTGATTTGATTAGGAATAAAGAATTTAATAACCCCAAGTTTTAAAGGAAGTGTTAATAATGCAACTAAATAACATCCACAATTATTTTCTTAATAGAAACTTTCAATTAGAGAAGATATGTTTATTGAAATTAACAATTTATTTAGCACTTTTTATTAATATTAGTATTTACGTGTTGTGTCGCAAGAATCTCCCAGAAAGTAAACCATCTCCAGTAAATTCACGATATTTACATATTTTTATCAAGTTTTTATACTGTATTCTCAATTGTCTTCCGTAAGCCCATAGCAGAATATATTTAGGTGTTAAGAAAGTTAACAAATCTCCTAGACATATGGATTCTTTCAACTTGGGACTCCTGCCACTTGTTTGGGGTGTAATTTCATTGAACTAAGCTTAGTATAAATTTGTGGTGTTACAATTTTAAAAAATTTAAATTTCTTCACTGCAGGGTACATTGGTGAATTTGAAATTATTGACGACCACAGAGCTGGCAAGATTGTTGTCAATCTAAATGGTAGAATTAATAAGGTAATCGATACACTTGCACATAAGATAGAATTGGATTTTTTAGGTGTAAAAACCAAGGATAGCCCATAAAAGTCTGAAGAAGTATTACTTCCAGTGGGGTCCTTCTGGTGGGGAGTGGGTAGTACACCGGGAGACAATCCCCTACACTTTTCCGAAGAGTGTACTGTGTGCTTCAACGTGCACACACGCCATAATGGACAAAGGATGAACGGCTTAAACGTCGCATCCGAAAGACAGTGCGCTATCGTAACATGTATTTCAGCCCTTCAGCTGAAATACAAGGAGAGCAGTGATGGGAATTGAACCGGGGACCAAGAGATTTCCACGGTTCAGCGCTCACACAGTTTCTACCACCTGTTTTGCCGACTGAGCTAAGCTGTTCTCTAAACACAACTTGGCATTATCCACCAGTATTTCATTCTGTATTCTAGTTGATTTTTAAAAAGATCATAGAGCATTATATCTTTTCTGTGAATGAGGTCAGAAAAGACAGCTTATTACTAAAACTAAATTTATTTTATCTCCTCAGTGTGGTGTCATCAGTCCTCGCTTTGATGTATCAATTCGATCTGTGGAACAGTGGACAAACAACCTCCTACCATCTAGACAATTTGGGTAAGTTTTAATTTGCTATTTTCAAGAATGCCATCCTGTATAACCGCCCTTCATTTTGCGTATATGTAATGGCTTGTGACTTTTTATGTTGTCTTTTTAAGATGCATTTCCCACAGTTAACTTTATATTCCTTTGTCTTTCCATTTATCTTTGCCTACTGCAGTGTTCACCCCTAAAGTCTTGATTTGTCAAGATGCCATGATACTTTAATGACCTTGGGGGAACACTCATATTTTGCTGTTTGTTCTTTCCCTACCAGCCATTAACATACATATGTTGGCAGTATGAATGTTATTACATTTATAATATCATTGATACAAGTGTACAGCCATTACAACTCATTACTTCCCATTACTTTTTAGGAGTGCCACATTTTTTATAAAGTTTGAAGCCTGCCTTGATTGACACTTGAGATTTAACATTTCTCTATCTCATTCTCGCAGATATCTCGTTCTCACAACATCCTGTGGTATCATGGACCATGAAGAAGCAAGGAGGAAACACGTTGGAGGCAAAATTCTTGGATTCTTTTTCTGAACATTGTATGATTTAGTAAATTAACATCGGCTGTGACTAAAACTTTTGTACAGAAAAGTATAATAAATGGCTTGGTGAAAGTGAAACATTTTTTATGTACATTTTTTTTTAATTGAATAATCTTATTTTAGTTAATTATCAACATTCATGAAGTCACAGACCAAAAATAACAATTCTGATTTTTGGTATTTGAAGAATATTTTTTTTATTTTAACTCAACAAAATCAAAATACAGATTAGCTACTACCACTAAAGAATCAGACAAATTGGAATTGCTAAAGGCAAGTTCAGACGAGTTAGAAGTAGGCTTTGAAGTAGCAGTTTACTTGTCACAAGCCCTGGGGAGTGCTTGTTAAGACGCTCTTTTTATTAAGTTACCGCATACGATTTACTTTAATTCTCAGGAGCAAGTGTGCTACTTCCACATACACGGAATGTAAGGAATACGCACTCAGAGTAGCGCCGTGTATACGCAATTACTGTACTGTATTTTTCAGAGCTCGCAAGTAAATATGACTTTTATTACGATCTAATTTTTTTCAAAAGATAAAATAAGTGCCAAAATAACATTTACTCTAATGTGTAAACCTTTGTTGACACAATGTTTTCATGATTGTTTAAAATTTTAAGAATAAGCAAAATAATTGTCGGAGGGACGATTTCTTGCTTCTGGAAAATTTGCTTCATTCTTAGCTCTGAACTAGCTTTAAAGTAAAAAGAACATTATGTCCTCTGTAGGCATCGTGTGGACACTTGCCGGAAGTAACGCATGCAACAAATGTAACGTCTGTCATAACTCTACTTCAGATGGAAGGCCGTCTGAACGTGGCTTAATTTAGCTAATCTACTGCCACCCTAAAAAATAGGGAAAAAAAACCCCTACAAAATTCAGTCATTTGAAATGCTAAATTAAAAGAACCACAGATATCAGCAGTCACAGATAAAAAAAAAAATTCAATGATATACAAATGCTTTACTCATGTCCCACCTAAAGTTTAAATGTAGTTCTATAATATGCAAATTATAGGAATGTACAGTACTGTATTATTCAAATGTTGGTTTCTCATTCTATTTGACAGTTAAAAGCTAAATATTTATGGCAGTGAACTTTTTAAACTTTATTCTATGTTTACCAAAGCTCTGTCCAGACTATCAAATTATCTTTGACAAAAAAACTTTTATACCCATGTTCATGATGTGATGTCATCATGACCATGTTTAGGCATGTTCAGGTACAATTCAAATTAAGATGAACCATATTATTACACTAAATTGCAAATGAAAAGATCAAATAACCTTTATTTTATTCATATGTAAACCAACTCCATACATTTGAAGTCACAAGTTTCATAACTCTTCCAAAATATTTTTTGATAGAAATATTACAAAATGTAAATTTGTAAAAAATATTTTAATATACTGGATTTTTATTACTGCTGTACTAAAATTTTTTAATTGCAAAGTAACATCACAAAAGTTGCATTTGTTGAAAGCTAGCTTGATATATAAACTGGAATGCTACAAGTTTGCAAACTAACAAAAAACTGAGTACAGTAACATAGATGAGGCTTGTCATCCCAAAACCTGTATTAGTGACCAAAAAATGAAAAGTGAAGTTTTAATGTTAAATTCATCAGCTTTAAAATGATGGGTCATTTACTGAAATTCACTTACTGTCAATGTTACGATTAAAAGTATTATGGCTTCTCTGTCTTAAAGTGTACTATACCGTAAATGCTTGAATAAGCACCGCGGTGCTTATAAAATTTTTGGAGGCTTCAGTGCAGCGCTTATTCAAGAGCGGTGCTTATAAAAATTATTGGTGTGACACTTATTTATTTTTTTATTGCTGTAGTTCGGTAGGCCTATCAGGTCCAACGTCATCGTAAATAAACGTTTATACAGAAATGTTTGTGTCTTAACTGTTATTTATTCGTTTTAGCACAATGTTCACAGTACAGTGTTAAAATGAATAAATAACACTGTATACATTGTATTTAAAATCCTGTTTCTCAAAGTGTTTCATTACACACAGGGTGATATATATACTCTTGATCTCAGTGCTTATTCAAGATCGGCGCTTAGTGAAAAAAATCATGTTTGGTGCGGCGCTTAGCATTTACGGTACTACCACATTCAGGCCAATTACTCAGTTCAACATAGTATCGACAGTATGTTGGTTTTGGGATGTACAATTACAAAAGTTACACTTGTTGAAAAGCTTCAAAATAACAAAATCAAATTTTAGCCTGGATTCCAGGTTTCTTGATCACCATCAAGAGAAGCGAGGTTTGGTGCTGGTGTAAACTATGATAAACATCAAAAACATGTTTGGTTTTTCCCTATGTAAAATTGGTCTATTTTTACCAAAGAAAGAGTTAAAACTGCACAAACATGCAACATAAAACCTACATTATAAATAATCATCAATAATTACAGTTTGCTGCTGGTGGAACTAAAAAACTAATCAACTTCAATTAACTAATACTAATTCTCTATTTTATTTTTATTTAATGTATACATTTCAGTTAAACTTACATTGAATACAAAAAGCAACCAGGACAGACCAAAAACTTGTTTGGTCATTCTCTATGTAGAAGTTTGTCCATTTTAACTAAAGAAACACAAAGGGTTGAAATCGCACAAACGTAAGAGCAAAATAAAAACTATTTATTATAAACCACCACCAAATTACAGCTTGTTACCGAGAACTGAAAAACCTGGTGAAATACCACTTAACTTCATGTAAACTATCACTAATGTATTTTACATTGAATACAAAGGACAAGAGAAAAACTTTTTTGGTTTTTCTATTAAATGTAAAATTGGTCAATGTCCAAGAAGTACATAGTATTACCATCAAACAAAATACAACCTAAATTATATTAAAACAATCACCAATATTTACAGAAACAAGTTCTCATGATCTTGAAGGTGCCAATGAGGGCAGTATAATAGAGGCAGTAGAATATATTGGGCTGCCCATACAATAAAGATCTATTAATCAGCTGAGTGTTTTCTAGAGCTCCACGTCAGACCTAAAAAAGTTAAAAGGTCGAATCACTTTGCTTTGAATACCCTGTCTCTATTAATTGTTGTAGACTTACTATTTAATCAAGTCTATCAGGGGAAGATCCAGATATGTATGAAAA